TATCTTCTGTACCAATCGCGGGGAATTAAACCCCGGATTGTAGGAACAAGCTAGAACGAAAGCTTTAAATTTTAGCCAAACGATTAAATCTTAATGTATAACTAAAAAAAAATTCCAAAACAATATTGATATTAATCAACTTTGGTTATATAATATACTTACATAATCCCTTTCTCACTGCAGTCCGGGATTTCTGCTGGCAGACAAGTTATACAGTTTCACTTCACAGCCTGGCCAGACCATGGAGTTCCCAGCTGTTCATTCTCCCTCGTCAAAGTTCTCAAGTTGGTCAAAAATTATCGACCTGCCAGTAAAGCCAGCATTCTTCTGCATTGTAGGTAAATAGAAACGATTTATTGCAGTGGTTCTCAAACTTGGTTCTCTTCGGACTACTTCGGCGGGGGAAAAGGCCCCGCGAGTCACCTACTGGTCCTACCCCCACCTGTTCTGTTCTCTCGTATGGCCTCGGCCATGGCGTTGTGCGTTAGTGATTTGCATTTTGGACCAGCCTGTGGACCACTTGGAGGACCCTCGCGGATCACACTTTGAGAACCACTGATCTATTGAATACGAGGAAGAATAATTATAAACTTAAACCTACATCAAACTTTTCGAACAATAAAATTACTAGCGTGACTATTTATTAAAGACAAACATATATATATATTAAGCATTCTTCCAAACATGAAAAAGAACAGAAAAAATATTACAAAAAAAAGACTTAAGAGATCAACGAATAAAACTCATGATAAATCTTGAACTTTAACAATTTATATGTCCAGAGAAAAACATACAATTAATTATTGAATAAAGCAAGTGACTTAATTGAGGAAATAAATGAAAGCTAAATAAGTTATAATTTTTTTATTGAAATATAATAGTCCATAAATGTTAATTAGATATTAATCTAGTTTAAATAACAATGTTATTGATGTGTATGTTTTATGGTCAAACTTTATTTTTTAAAGAAAACACGTTTTTTTTCAAGGTATTTACTTCCTCATAATACTGCAGGATCAATACTTAGGTTTTAACCTTTGATTACTAACTTAAACATATTAAGTCAATCACACAAAACATAATCGCTTAGTACTGATTTACTGTCACATAGAGTCTAATCTGATCCACCTGTAGACTTATCTCATATTGATACATATCAACTCAACCACACAGCACATAATCCGTTTAGTACTGACTTACTGTCACTTAGAGTCTAATCTGATCCCCATGTAGACTTATCTCATATTGATACATATCAACTCAACCACACAGCACATAATCCGTTTAGTACTGACTTACTTGGCACTTAAAGCCTAGATTTATATATATAGCATAGCATGGTTTATATTCAAATGTACACTTAGTGCCGGCGTAGGACGAACAGGAACCCTAGTTCTTCTCGATTCAGCGCTGCAGATGATAAAGTCAGAGCATAACGTCGACGTTCTGGGCTTGCTGTACAAACTTCGGCAACAGCGTGTCAACTTAGTTGAAACTGTGGTATGTATAAAGTTTCCTGTGTCTTTTTTTATTTCAAGCTCTTAACTTTATGGCTTACTATATCGTATATGATTAAAATTACACCCTAGCTTCACACTTAAATTTGTTATATGAAATATGTTAACTGATAGTAAGTAACATAAGTTATACCATTACCAGCCTATGTCTACATTTTTGAAGACTATCAGCTGTTATTGGACCCGTCATATCACACCAGTCATATGACAATTAGTCTTTCTTCTTCTCATACTCGTATGGAAGCAGTAATTTTCAAGAAAAACCAAACTTGTAGCAGAAAACTGATGACTACAGACTTGAGAATAGAAAGATGTAGAGAAAAATATGTCAAGACGAAAGCGTCATTCTTTACTATCGATTTTGGCTGATGGGAGCTACGAAATAATTATGTTTATCATTGAACTTGATACGGTTTTGTTACGCACCACGACCCTGATGTTTTTATACGAAAGTTCTAAAACTAGGACGATAGGAAACATCAACGCCAGATCTGTCTGGAGGGTTCATGGTTTGAGGCCCATTGCCAAAATAAAAACAAATGCCCCGCATTTTAAGGCCGTGGGTGGCGTTATAAGAGCGATGGTCAAATCCTACTATTCGGTCAGACAATAGTAGCCCAATAGCTAATGCCAGGTGCCATTGACTAGCTGCCTTCCTAGAGTCTATCAGTTCAAAAGTAGAGACAGCGATGCACAGACAACCCATTGTATAGATTTGTGCAAAGATTCTGAAAGAAAAATAGATCTGGCTAAACAGCCTCAAATAAGTTTATGAAATTAAATATCTTTCAAGTGTAGGAGTCCGTACGGCTGGACAGTGGATCCGTACAAGTTTGCTTTTCATCAACAGCGACGTTTCGAGAATATATATATATATATACGACAACCAATCGGCATGCTTTTGTTTGTTTGCGAGCGTGCAAATTTTACAGTTTGCTGGACTATGTATCACTTTGATTCTCCGTTCCGCCTTCTTGTAAAGTTTAAACCTTGATATGTGAAAAGAATTACACTTAAGACCCCTAAGGTGAGTTTCTACTGTTTATAAAATCACTGTATTAAATTCGTCCAGTTTAACAAATATGGATATTGAAGTATGCTTTCAACAATAACTTTTACATCCCTTAAAGGAACAATACGCGTTTGTTCATCGTTCCTTGGTTGAAATCTTGTTCGGAGACAACCCCTGTAAACCAGCCGATCAGCTACCTCTATACCTCAACAAACTTCGTAAAGCAAGCAGTCAAAAGAAGACCACCGGACTACAAATTCAGTTTGAGGTAAGGTGCATTTTTGATGTTGTAACTTTTAGTTTCTTGAACAGACTTTAAGCTGTAGTTGTTGGTCAGAGCTTAGTACAGAGATCAGAGATGCAAGAAACGTGAAGCCCACAACACTTATGACTAAACAATTTTCATTGCATGATACAACCCTCTGAAGAAATTATCCAACCATATGTAAGTAGAAATGTATACACACACATTCACATACATGGCATTTTACACCGTTTGTATTTGTAAGATACAATATAATCTATAAGTCAAATAATTAGGCAAATTAACTTGAATCTCATAAGTAAGTTTTGTTCATATTTTTTATGCTGTTTTATTTCTTATCAAGAGTTTAACTATTTGAATGTGTTTTATTGTTTCAAAGATTTACCAAACTTCTAAGTCACTTTTTTTTGCATAAATTGAAGGCAAAGTTTACTTGGGTTTTGTTTTATCTTTCTCTAAACGGAAGGTTTGTGGCTTATCTTTCCAGAATCTTTCGAAAGTCGTCTTTCCTGGGATTAATTATCCTTGCTCTAAATACGCGGTTTATGGCTTATCTTTCCAGAATCTGTCGAAACTCGTCTTCCCTGGGATTAATTCTCCTTGTTCTATATACCCGGTTTATGATTTAACTTTTCTAGAGTGCGTCGAAACTCGTTTTCCATGGGTTTTGTTCTCCTTGCTCTATATACCCGGTTTATGATTTAACTTTTCTAGAGTGCGTCGAAACTCGTTTTCCATGGGTTTTGT